ACGGTATTGGCCTCAACATCGCGGAGGATGCGATCAAAGTGTGATTTATCCACACGAAGTAATTGACAGTTGGATTCGTTGGTCACGATTGTGGCCGCTCTCGGCGCCTGTATGTCATGTCAACACATGTATAACAATAGTTAACACACTATAAGACTATTAATATTATTAAAGGAAACCCTTAGAAAATTATAAGATATTAGTTGTCATTAACAAAGTGTTAATAGTAATTAAAATATAAGAAACTTTTAAAACTTTTTAAGTGTAGGTTTAATAATATATCATTTAAATATGAATTCCAAAATTCTTATAGAAATAACTTAGAAAATAGATTATTGTTTATCTTATCCCATACCCAATCACCATTACTATTAATAATTAGTGTATTTATTATAATAAAAATAAAGTAATAAATAAATAAAATGCAAAAAACGTTGTGATATATACATGCAAACAGCATAATAACCTCATTAACGAGGGCCAGTTTGCCGAAGTCGTCGCCCTCATGGAGTGTACAGACGATCCCTTTCCCGGCGATCACCACATTCACCGAAGCCGACAGTATTATGTACCAACAGGTGCCACAATCGCCCTGGTTGAATACTATCGGTGCCCAAACATATCGTATAAATAATAACAAATTGTGAACAAAATATAATTTTCAATTAATTTAGACAATGCGCTTATAATGGGAATAAAAATAGTTAACACTTTTATAGTTTATTGTGTACTAACATAAAATACTGTTCCCTCTATCTAATCGCATAATTTGCTAATGATTTCACTAGCACTGTTAGTTTGTACTATACAAATCTTACCCTGTTTATAGTCACCGGGAGTTCCAGATATAAATAGATAAGAATTGTACGCCTATGTAAAACAAAGTGTACAAACTTATGTTTACGTGAGCAGGCTCAAATATCATCAAGTACATTAAATATTTTACTAATTACTACTATCGACATTAAAACAAATACTACACTCAATGTCCAAATAGTACTCATAAAACTCAAAGTCTAATGAATCACATAAAGTGATGAAAGTCTAGCCACACATTGGATGCACTCATAAACTGATGGCACAAAAAAAGTGACCAAAACTTTTGACACCTATTTTTGATTGGATTTCTCTACGACTACATGAAAATCTTATAATACTTTTCTGGACTTTTCGTGTCATATATGTGTCAACATAATACTGAAAGGTCTTAATGTTGAGGTCATAGATATCACTATAGGATGGTATATGAGATGATAATCCACAACAAGACAATCAATACTAACGAATGGTTCCCTTCTTGAGGTGG